CGTGCCACATTCTTCGTCTCTGCAGTCTGTGATACGCTCTCCGTCAAAATGTCGAGTCTGCGATGCGCTGACCCCCGTAGCTCCGTCGACCTGATGAGGCAGCAACACCCGGTAGTTGGACGCTTAACACCCGTGTTCCGCCGGCCTGCTGAGCCATCTACCTCCGATTTCCGCTCAGCAGCCGCACGTCTCACCGCTCCTCTCCGTCAACAGCACCCGCTAAAGCCAACGCCGCCTCGCCAGAACTCTCCATTCGACGCCATCTCTCCACATCAGACTGCCCCAACTAGCACCTCAGCTTCAGGCCCGTAACGGCGTACGCAGAACAACACCCTTCCTCTCCTGATTGGCAGCGACACCAGATGTAGTGAACAGAACACGGGTGGCGACAATCGAATGTATTTAAAACAAAATTACAGGAATCGCTAGTAAAATCTAACAATCATAGAGTAAATGCGTCTTCAATCAGCAAGGTTTACTTTCAATTCTGTGAGAAGTGATGGTCTTTGGGAAGTTTGAAACCGCTTCAAGCATCTTGATGTTCTGGAATGTTATGTTGAAAAACTAATTTGAGAGTTCTTAGCAGTGTTCCATAACAATCTTGCATGGTAATGAAGTAATAATTTACAGGTCTTGAAGCGTGTGAATTACATCCAGAAAGTTTAAATTTTAATTCAATGTCTCAAATTTTAACTCCATTCAACTCAAGATATAGAGCTCTGTCACCGACAAACAATTGTTTGCTCAGTAATGACTAACTTTAACATAAACCGTAAACTGACAAATTTCATCCATGTTGGGGGAAAACTATGAATCACTGAAGACATTGTATGATTGTCATACTAGTTCAAGAAATAATTTGTTGATTACTGATACTTCATTTTTTTCAAATAAAATAATCATCACAAGCGTAACATTCACATACATGGACTACTTATATTTCAAGTGTATGTCTCTGCAAATTGAAAATAGTGCCAAATATAACGATTTTTATTTCATTATATCATCATTTTTATCTAGCATTTACTTTAAATACATATATATGCATCTTGCAAGTACATCGATAGAGAATATTCTTGACAATTACTTCTCATCCGCCTTTATGATTATACAAATAAACTATTGATCCTTAGACAGTGGTTGAAGGTAGTTGACAGGAAACCGTGGACACGGGTTTCGTGCTACTTGGGACTCGTCAGCAAGGTGTACCTGTAATCTTGAGGGAACTGGTGCTCCCTGGCGGATTCAATCTCTCGTTATCCAGCTTCACAGCCAGAGACGTTACCACTGAGCTATCCGAGCCGCGACCGACCTCCTGTAGGACCGAGATGTAATCACAATTGGTTGATCACTGGGTGGCGATCAATGTCATGCGTGTCCAGTCCTTATCAGTGCAGATCGAATACTATCGATCATGGTGCACCATCTAATCCCAATACATAGTGTCCGCAGTGTCGAGTCACCTAGACTGGTGGTCACATTGCAACATGATCGATAGCATTCGATCTGTATTAATAAGGACTAGACACGCATGACATTGATCGCCACCCAGTGATCAATTAATTGAAATTATTGCTCCGAAAGGATCGCCAAGTTTATGAAAATCATACTTTAAAAAATATAGCACACGAATCCACTTACATACACTGTTTACTCGAGTAAGTTTGTTGGTTAAATGAAGTTGTGAGATTAATCAGAATAATTATGATCAGTATAGGGTTTTGTGGAAATTATAGGTTTTTTCACCAATTTTAAGACACGAATAAATCTTAGTTCAACAACCAGTAGGAATCTGTAAACACTATTCAGTCCTGATACAGAAATCCTAAGCAGTACAAATTTGCTACTACTCATCCGAGAATCAGACCTTCGGTTTCACCTGCAAATCCTTGACATCAAGACCACTGAGCTGGAATGAGCTGTTGATGTCTAATATCAATCGATTTACTATGTTGCAAAGCCTTTATCCACCATCTGTAATAGATAACTATTTCACACTCGATATGGTTGAACTCCACTGGTTACATCTCCTCATTTGGATTTCAAGAATTCTATTTCAAGCTAGTCATTAGTGGACACACAACTGTTATTAGTACAGGGTTTTGTGAAAATTATAACACTTGCATCATTTCTGAATCATAAACTGATCTTAGACTATCAACGAAAACAAGAAAACAGGATATGAGCTAACTAACTTCTGTATATGTCTACAAGATTCATAGTAGTAAACAATCATTCTAAGTTTTGTTAGTAATAACAAGTATAATATTTGATCAATATAAAATTTAGAGAAGTAAAATATAAATTTGGAAGTTTGTAAATATATTAGTCAAACTGAATTATATTCTTATTCAAGTAATCACTGATTTCTTATGCTGCTTCATTATTAATCCTAAATTCATTTCTTTATAATCTTTAATGATATATTTCCCCTTCAATCGGTTGTCATTTTGGATCACACAGTAGACCTTGAAGAGAATTGTTTGAAATGTATATTCGTTATTTAAATGCTTATTATTGTGAAGGGGATTTTTAAATGTTTATCTTTATTTAAAGTAAGATTTGTATTTAAATTATAATCTTAGTAATTGATTTTTTAATAGTTTCCACAATTTTACCCAGGAAACTGGTTACAGTGGCTTTAGGGAAATAATCAATCATTTTACCAGGTGAGAAGTTAAAATTATTTAAATTGTAATCAGTGAGAATATTTCGAATAGGATGTTTTAGTGACCGGTTATTTTAACGCCAAATAGATCAGGCGATGTTATTGACGGGTTCACCACTTCAGTGGCTCGAGATGACTCCAATTCGATTGTTTGTTTGATTGTTACTGAAATATACATAACGTCATTCCTCGTATAAAATTATCGACTTAAATTGCATTATTGAATAACAGAATTAAATATGTTAAATACGAGAATGGATTATTTGAATGAATATATTTTGTACACTCATTGATCTTAACAGACAATCGGAGGAAAAAAGCGAAATCACGCGCAGTGGAGAAAGCGTGTGAGCCAATTCGATTTAACCAAGCGTTAATCAATATAGTTACACAAAAATAAGTTACACACATGTGATGATTGAGATGAGAAACGCACACACATAAGCTTACATAAAAACAATCAAGATTGATAAGTGAATAATTAACAAGGTCGAAATATGACTCAAAAAGGATGGATAAATTTGCCTATCCAGAAGCTAGAATAAGCTATGTATCCTTAACGTAGCAACTGATACTACAATGTTCACTTATAACGTTTTCAATTAACCTGACAATCAATTTCTGTCAAACGTTTCGTTCAAATTTCGATGTAAGATCATATAAATGCTCACTTATTGATATTATAAAAATAAACTCGAACACTTTAGTGAATTGTATTTTTTCCACAACTTGTCAAACCTAGATCTTTCTTAATCTAAAAACTCAGTTTTAAAACTAAATTTTTATCGAAATACCGAATCGTTTAATCTAATGTATTAGGCGATAAGTTTTCACTTGAATTATGAAGGTCATTTCTGAAAGCAGTGAAATTAAACTTATCCATTTATAAAAACTATTACTAGATCAAATTAGAATTAATGAAAAGTCGACTGTATCACAAATGTACCAGATAACAGTGATGACATTACGTGCCTGTCATATTGTATTACGAAGATATATGGAAATTTGTTTTCCAACAGCGTCCAAGAATGTAGTTGGTTTGTTTTTATAAGTGAACCAATTCCTTGAACTGATGACTCGTTTCTACATGTAGTTCAACGTTGATTTTCTAGTTTCGCATAAAAATCACTTGCGGATCTTAAGACATATGGGTGATTCTCTTCGTAAAGCTTGTAAAACTTCACTTCTCTAGATAATATTAACCCGTAATTAAAATTAAATTCAAAGTCATTATTTACAGGTTTAATATATATCGAATGATTATATAATTGTTAGTGATTAGTGGGAATTAACAAAAACGTTCCCCGACAATGTTCAGACATTTAAAATAACATATCGAGGAACCAACAAATTGAGCTGAGTTTCTGCTCAATAATCAGTTAAATTTATTGGCTAAAAGTAACTGACGCCGAACATTGGCGATGATAATTGATGTTAAAATGTTGAAAAGTATAAGTGTACAGATTCATTGTCAACATATGGTTCAGTGTATCTCAATTTGTTCGGCTGAATAAATCAAAACTAAGGCTAAACGGTTTAAAAAAATAGATAAATTGATACCAGCAGCCCCGCTTGGCACTCATAAGTTGGATGTCCATTCATCTCAGTTTTGGTGTTGACATTGATACTTAAACCTATTACTTTTCTCTTCAAGTTCCAAATGCTTATGCACTGAGATACTGAGTTCAAATAGCCACTGACTTGTGAAAACATGTAAAATGTTTATATATTTAATAGTAAGGCTTGCATTATCCAGTTGCTTGTATTCAGGAGGGAATTGTGATCAATCTTTGTTAGCGATTACCAAATACAACAAAACACATATTCCAGATTCCACTGTTAGTCATGATCCATCTATTCTGCAAAATTATATCGAGGCAATATAGATAAAATCCTTATATTCTAGGATATCAAAAAACGGGGCAACTCAATCTCTTTCTAATAGTCAATGATAGATTTACACCTATAATCTATAAAACGTTTATGTACTTTGTTGATAAGAAAAAAAGATTATATCTTGAAGTTAGTTAGCTTTTCGGTAGTTAAACTGTCATTCTAAAATATCAGGCGAACATTAAATTCATAAGTAAAATTAACCTGTACTACTGATTCAAGTTCCATTTACAAATTAGAACATTACGTTCTACACACGTGATTAACATAATTAGAGGTTATATGAATTAACCAATAGAAAGCAAATTAGTGGTAACCAATCATGTGTCATTGTTTTCATATCATTAAACTTTGTTGATTGTAATACATTTTCTCAAGCTCAGTATGCAAAGTACAGGACAGTTTAAATGTATATATATATAGCTGGAAAATTTTGCAAATGTCCGATACTAACGATGCACCTATAACAGTTAAATCATCGATACACTCCACTTCAAATGATGATGACAATAAATGTTTATCAAGCGATAGTAAACCATATAATGATTCTATAAGTAATTCTACTTGTAATGAAGATGTTCCATGCTGTTTAAAAGAAGAAGGATATCAAATGTTTCGGAATAGTTCACAAAAAGGTGTACATTTTTCAAAGTCCCCTCGAAAATCTGTAGACTCTCCAACCAAAACAACAAATGCAAACTCTAAAAATTGTAATTTATCTCCGGAGATAATAAATTCCTCAGTGAAAGAAGAACATACTACAAGTTCAAACTCTTCAATAAATGGAGCAGGTAAAAACTGGAAAAATGTTCGTCATACAATGAAATTTGTTCTGTCAAACAAATCTAAAAGCAAATCGGAACATGATGATTCTAGTCGTGATTCTTTTCTATATCGTTTTTCAACACAAAGACGTGGAACATATACACGAGAACATGAGAATCTCAATGAAACACCATTACTAACTTATCAAACATCTTTTAAAAATAAAAATGATACCAAACCACAAAATGATGATTATTCACAAAGTGGTACATTATATGAATCGTGGTTTAATCAACAACAACCAGAGATTGATAATAAACAACATGAAATTGAACATTTAATTAAATCATCCTTATCACAATGTTCAATTGTAGATAACTTAATCAATAAACCAGAAATTGAACCAATTGATACTGGTCAAAATGATTCATTTTCATCTCCTGAAAATCTAAATCTTGATCATCATAAAATAGAATTTGATATTGAAAAATCAATAAATTGGAAAAAACACATCTTATTATCCTTTAAAATACCAATGAATTTTTTTATATTTCATTCAAATAGTTCCGGTTATTTAATATGGTTAACATTTGTATCCTTAGCATTATTATATAATTTATGGGCACCAATAGCACGTCAAGCATTTACTGAATTACAAATAACTTATCAATTATTATGGTTCACTTTAGATACATTTGCTGATTTAACTTATTTAATTGATATATTTGTACAATGTAATACAAGTTATTTAAAATGTGGATTAAAAGTACGGGATCATCAAAAATTAGCTAAATGTTATATGAAATCATATAAATTTCTATTAGATTTATTATCATTATTTCCATTAGATTTAATACAATTTAAAATTGGGATACAACCAATGTTACGTTTTCCAAGATTTTTTAAATGGTATCGTTGTCATGAATGGAAAATACGTGTGGAAAATAGAACTATATTTCCTAATTTATGGAGAGTATTAAATTTAATTCATATATTATTCTTAGGTTGTCATTGGTTTGCTTCATTTTATTATTTATTATCAAAATATGAAGGATTTAAAAATCCATGGGGTTATCAACCATATAATAATAATAATAATGAAAATGATACAATATCACGTATATATTTAAAGTCATTTTATTGGGCTACATTAACATTAACAACAATTGGAGATCTTAGTGCACCAACAAGTAGTATAGAGTAAGTTGAATAATAATAATAATAATTTTTTCATTTTTTTTTACTTGGATATAATATAGACCTCAAATCAATAGACAGATACATTTGTTAATAAATCAATATTTCAAGGACTTAACTTTCTTAATTGTTTAAGTATTTTATTCATGATTCTCAGTGTTAATATCCTTAGGATTGGTGAAAATCATTATAGATTGATTTCAACACTGTTTAGTATGTTAAAACAAGAAAGAAAAATATCGAAACTTCTCTATCAAGTTTTATTGATTAGTTAATGAGTTTATAGATTTTCAATATTCATAATTGATTTGTAGTTGGATTAATTAAATGACTATAATAGATTACTTGGTGAAATTTTGAAAAACAGCTATGTATACTCCATGAATTTACCTAAAATTCAAGCTTTTTAAAAAAAAATTTAATAAGTTCTTCACGAAACTATAATTTATGGACGAACCAATCACGTAGAAGATAACAGGACTCGGATTTTGACACGAAATTTACTCATTCATTGGAATCAATAGAGTTTTGACATTATAACTGATGTCAGTTCACGATGAAAACTCTAAATCTAATTTCTAACCTTAATTATGAACTATAAATTATGATTCTAATTCCTCATACAGGTTCATAACCCTCATTTGGGCCTAGTTACTAGGTGGACACTCTCAAGGTCACTATGACGTCATTCAAAGGTCGTTCGTAAATTATAGTCGCACCAAATTTTTAATTTTAAATCATAAGTTACGTGGTTTTACCTTCGAAATGTTTATCAATCAAAAATCTATATTCATTATGAATCATTTTCCATTTACAATTAAAAACATGTACATCTGATATACATTTGTGGTAAAAAAAAGTTTGATTCCAGTGCTTTTTCAGTAAATTGATGGGGTTTGATTGACAATTTGAGTTTACTAAATGTTTTCCTTATACAGTGATTTATTTATCCTTCACAAAATAGAGAGGGAGAGAGAGAAGAAATAGAAATCGTTTGAAGTATAGTCTTTATGATATCATCTTTCGTGAAAAAGTTTGTAGCTGTTATCAAATACAAAGATGTTCAGTATATTTGAATTTATTTACAACATTTTAGAGAAAGACAATTCTCTTTACTCAGCTTTCCATAATACCTTTAAATTGAAAAAAATATATATTTCAATGGTGATCTAACATCAATCGGTTCATGATTTCAATCAAAAACTTAATAATCTTCACAACTCCATACTGATGATTATCACTAGTGACTAGCTTCGTGAGGGAATTCTCGAAGTTCTAGTGAGAAACCGTGACCAGTGCAGCTATTCCGTGTAAGTAGAGACAGTTACCTATCTCAGTACAATGTAACATGGTTTCACGATTTCATGAATTGCTTGAGGTTAGACATTAACACCGCTGGATACCGGCTCAGTGGTCTAGAGATGAACAGTTCAGCTTACTACTGTAATTTCATTCTTTTCTCCACAATCATATTCGATTTAGTAGAGTTATCTACAAATAATTTTTTATTAAACAGTGTTTTATTTCATTTTCTAAGTTGAGGTTATCCTACATTAGTATTGGTATTTGTGCCTTTGTTTTACTTTTACAACAAACTGTTTAATTATAATTCAATCTATTAGTCTGTTATAGTACATGTTTAAATACATTGATGAAGTAATATCTTATTCAGTTTGATTCTTTGATTAATTTATTTATTATTTCTGGAAATACTATCAAATTTGTAATAATAACAACTGATATATGACTCCTTGATTGCTCATTCTTTTAATTATACTTTAAAACATATATATTAAATAATTAATTAATTATCGCGAGGCGAGATTGTGGATGCCCATTTCTGAAGAGTCCTACAATGGGACGAAACGGACGTCCAGTACTTGCAGGTTTTCCATAGAGGTTTAGCTTCAACTGACTCATGATCTCAACTATTAGAATTACTATATTATCTACAAAAACCCCTTATGATACTCATTAAAATAATCAATTTCGTCAATGAATAAAAATAATTCAATGAAGAAAAGCTTCTTTTCAATGAAAACATTTACTTAAGCTATACATTAATATTTATAGTGATATAGAAAGTATATGAGTCTATGAAAGGATAGAAAACGATTATATCATAAATGGATTCAAAACTCTATATAACTATAAATACAAATATACAGTTGAAGTAAATCATTGAAAAGAACATTTTCTTCAATGAATTCTCTTTATTTTTCTGTGTTTAATCATGTTCAATCTTCATGTAAAGTAATATTATTATTATTATTAGTAGTAGTAGTATACTGATACAGCCTATTGAATGAATTATTGACATAAGTCATTATGTTTCATTTAAGATTATCATCTTATTATAATAATTTATCTTTAGTTATTTATTATATAATTTTTAGAAAAAACAAACACTGAATGCAAGACAATGACCTCCATTGCTTCGAATCTTTCAATCTCTCTCTCTCTCTCTCTCTCTCTCTATATATATATATATATATATATATATATATATATATATATAGTTACTGCACAATTAATTTAAATTTATATTTGTAATTGAATTGCTCCAGTGATTAACTCAATGGTGAAAAGCAAAACTGTTCACTATCGAACGATCACATAAATAAACATTAAATATATAATGGAAGTAATGATAATAATAATAATAATAATAGTGATATGCGAATTGAAGGCCACATTTGTTAAGAGATTTTTATTAGTAGTGTAACGAATTTAATTAACTTGATATAATCCAATATCTTTTTTCAGTTGGATCTTTTCAACAATTTCACATATCTTATTATTTATTAAATAAATAAATAAAAGTTTTAGACTGATGTAGAATTTTTTTTCATTTATGTGGGTATCAACTAAATGGTTTATTACGATAAACTAAGATTTATGAGCCAAACTTAAAAACAATGTTGTTTTAAACAAGTAAGATAATCAAGGGAGATAGTAAGTCACTAATGACAATGGTGGATGTGTAGCTCAATTTCGAGGATTAGTTTAAGTTAGACATAGTCATGTTTGGATGCCGACCGGTTCAGTGGTCTAGTGGTTAAGCGCACGCATGCGAGACTGGTAGATCCTGGTTTCAAATTTCACGAGGCGGGATCGTGAATGCGCACTGCTGAGGAGTCCCATAATAGGACGAATCGGTCGTTCAGTGTTTCTAGTTTTTCATGGTGGTCTAGCTTCAATTGACTCATGATCTCAAACATTAAAATTACGACAGATTTGTAAATGTTTTTTTAGGAGTCACATAAACAACGACGGTAAAAGACTCATAGTTTCAAATAGTACTAAATTTGATATTAATAAGTAATGAAGTAATAGTCTTTGGAAAATATTCATAAGCTTTATTTAAACTAGAAATAGATATGAAAGGATAATTTCATTTAGAATATGTAACAGCTGTTAAGCCACTGAAAACTAGACAATATTGAACGTCTGTTTGATTCTGTTTACGTTTGTATCTAAGGAATTTGTATTAAAACTCCGCATAAAGAAATATGACACTCTTTAGTTGCTAATCTGGATAAACATTTTCATTTTCAAAATTTCTTTCTTTTGGAATGATCAATATTGGATAAACAATTGTTATAGTGTTTAGATAATTATGGATATCTACAGAACATTGCTTACATTTTTATTGGAGGGTTTTCAATCAATATACTGTAATAACATTTGATTCACATTATTTTCAAAGTAGTTCTTCTTAAATCATTGTAAAGTAACTGACGTTCAATGCTACTAAACAACAAACAACTAAGTATATGTTATATAAACTTGATATACAAATAAGTCCATATTCCAAAAGCAAATCGCCAGATGCTCAAATAATTTTAATAAACTAAGGTTTCCTGAGATGAGTAGTGTAATCGTCACTCGATCCTTATCTTTGTAGACAATAACATCAGCATAAATAAAAGTGGCGGATTTTTGAAAACAAATTATGGACAACTGTAAGGTTAATAATCAAGTCAATGAGATGAAATCAAAATAATTAAAATAGATATACAGATAATGACAGAACAAGTTTGTTACTCATATGTTAGAGACAATTGAAATATTTCACTTCTATAACAAATTTGTACTTATGATATCAACTGGAAAAAAACAATGATACCTTTAAACCTAAATCTCTCAGATCAAATGATAAAACCATCAAGATCAATTTCCTCAGCTAGAAAACTCTTTACATTATATCTAGTAATAAATGTGATGATTATAATTTTCTATGAGTATTATATATATACTTACTTACGCCTGTCACTGCTAATGAAGCATTCTCCAAACCACTTTTTCCTCCACCTTCTTTTCTAACTCCATCCAATTCTACTTCATTTTTCTCATTTATATTTCCATTTCTCGGCGTAATGTGTTCTTTGGTCTTCCACTCCTCCCTTGGCATTGAGGATTCCATGTGAGGGCTTGTCTTGTGACGCAGTTGGGTGCTTTCCTCAATGTGTGTCCTATCCAGTTCCAACGCTTCTTCCTGATTTCTTCCTCCGCTCTGGTTTGTTCTCTCCCACAGTACGTTGTTGCTAATAGTGTCCGACCAACGGATCCGAAGTATTTTACGTAGACAATTGTTAATAAACACCTGTATTTTCTGGATGATGGCTTTCGTAGTTCTTCAGGTTTCCGCCCCATTCAGTAGAACTGTTTTGACATTTGTATTGAAAATCCTGACCTTGGTGTTGGTTGACATTTGTTTTGAGTTCCAGACGTTCCTCAGTTGTAAATATGCTGCTTTTGCTTTGCCTATCCGCGCTTCCACACGTGCATCAGATCCACCATGTTCATCAATGATGGTGCCATAATATATATATATATATATATATATATATATAAGTATTAAAGTGTTAAGTTTACGTACTTCATTCCTGATATTTCCCCCTCCCTCCTCCTTTTTATTATGAACAAATAGTTATTAAACTTACTAATTATTTGACCTTATTTATATTTCCAAGGACAATAGATTAGTTAAGAAAAAACGT